GAACAATTCATGAATAATTCATGAAAAGTTGGCAGGGGTGAACACTTGCTGTTGACCAGGATAAGCTGGCGGTCATATACAATGTGTATCATTATAAACACCATGTCACTATTTATTTCATTTCATCTTGTTTTTCAATCTGAGCAATCAGTTTGATCATCCATTTTTGTAATAGATTTTGATGGATATTTATGAAACACTGAGCATGTTTTTTTGTTAACAGGGCTAAATACAGCATATTTGTTCAAATATTACGTATCATATATTTCTTTTTTTCTCTTTCTAGATGTAACATGACACAGATTTCCAACTGTAACAAGGACTCAAACTTGCCAGAATCTGTGTGATCTTTTAAAACCATCTCGCCAGAAAAAAGGAGTTAGTACAAATAAATGATAAATATGGCTGAATCTAATTATTGCGTTTTCCTTGTTTTTTGTATTAAAGAATTTAAGTGACTAACTACTGGATTTAGATTCCTCATCTTAAAAGGACGAATCCTTAGACCTGTGAGAAATTATTCCACAACTTCCACCGCATTTTCTGAAGCTAGTATTACAGCATTCCCGGCAGCACAGCAATTGTGGAAAACTTCCCACAGTGGGTCAAGCTATGGCGGTGTCAGGTCTAGGCCTGTTGGTGACCTCATAGTCACAGAACACTGCAGAAACTGTAGTCCCAGCAACCAGGCCAATCAGAACTAATATAATCAGTCAAGATGGTGTCTCCTACAGCCGACGGGTATATCATCAGAGTCTGTCTCTACGGCAGGAATAATACCACCTGCTGTCTGCCATCAAATCCTTGAAGGTAAGGATGTGAACCTTGTTTTGTTATTACTACCTGCCTATGATAATGATAGCACTCGATACAATCGGTTCAGTGCAGTAGGAGGACATATGTTCAAACTACAAACTGATCCAAGACTCTGTAAGCACTCACACTGTGTTCAGCAAGGTCTTTTCCATATATCAATCACAACATCATATGTGAACATTACTCTAATTGTCACCAAGAATTTAATGTATTTGAACATAATATTGTAGAATTAGCACTTTCATACCTTAATTGGCCCTATTATCTATGAATGCAAATAGGCATTCACAATCAGGGTGTCAGCCCTCCTACACGAGTGGGGCATTAAAGTCAACTGAGCAATTAGTGATATTCTATTTTACGCCAACATATGCTCAGGATTAAAGTATAATAGCTGCAAGTTTTGTAGCAACCTAAGCATCAGTAGAATGGATATTGCCAACATTAGAGGATTTGCCATCATAAGACTGGACATTGTCATCATAAGGACATAAGACTGGATATTGCCATCATAAGGACAAGACTGGATATTGTCATCATAAGGACATAAGACTGGATATTGCCATCATAAGACTAGACATTGCCATCATAAGACTGGATATTGTCATCATAAGACTAGACATTGCCATCATAAGACTGGATATTGTCATCATAAGACTAGACATTGCCATCATAAGACTGGACATTGCCATTATAAGACTGGATATTGCCATCATAAGACTGAATATTGCCATCATAAGACTAGACATTGCCATTATAAGACAGGATATTGCCAACATCAGGACATTGCATACATTAAGTATATTACCATCATAAGAAAGCATATTGCCATCATAGGAAAGTATACGTATATTGCCATCTTAAGAAAGTATACGTATATTGCCATGATAAGACTGAAAGGGATATATTTGGAAAACATTGGGAGGAGACGAAATACTGGCGTTGCGCCATTATCTCAGGTCAATGAAACTATGACAATGCAACCTGTACCACCGAACGAGCAGACATCAATTCGCAGCATTACTCATGAGGATACTCTGCGACCATTAATACCATTGGAACCAAACTTTACCACAGAAACTATGCATGCTGAATAGGTTCTTAATTCTGTCGCTGACCAGGTGCGCACTGTCCCAAACAGTGGTGATCAGGCTAATACGGAGTCTAGTATTCCTACGCGCACCCAGACAGCAACAGACCTGACGTCATCAAACATGGTCACGCCCACGACAGAAAACGTGACAATGAGGAACATGATGGAGGCCATGCATACCGTGCTAGGATTGCAGCACACTGCGCTTGGACTCATCGGGAATTCTAACCTATTAGCATATGGCTCTCTCTACTACCAACTCGAATGATATTACGACATCGGAAGTGCCTAGGGATTTGACTTATACGATGCCTTCGCCATCCACAGGTGGGTACCGTTTACCTATTTCCGAATTCGGGGTTCCATTAGAGTCTATCCCTCACATAGACATCATTTCCGAGAAACTTAAAAGAAGATTTGGGAGGGTCGCGACATCAACCTCGCCCCGACTAGAAACCAGAGAGGTTGAGGATAGGGAAGGTTCCTCCATTAACATCTCTTTCATTGAAACAGAAGATCCAAGATTGAATAAATCATTAAATGTAGGCGAGTTCATCACCACTTTTGGTAAATACAAAAGGGACAGTTTGCCAGAAAGCCCCACATAGGCGAGTTAAACTAGATAGATATGAGGCCAATATTATAGAAATCTCAAACGTGTATGGGGCGAAATTTTACGACTACCATTGCCAATTCTCAGCCAGGGCAGCCGCAGCGTTTAGGGACAAGAGAGCCAAAGTGGACTGGTCACTTAAGGACAATGGCCTTCTTGCTATGATAGTTGGGAACGCCAGAGTGAACACTTGCCAACTTTGTAATCTCACATCACACAGCACAGCATTTTGTCCTCAACAGAGAAAAAAAAAAAAATTTTTAGGTTAGATCTTCCAGATCGCTGTCGAAAGGTGTTCAGTTAACCATAACGTCCCTCCTCAATCCTGGAAAAAAAGTGCTGCAAAATGACCCTTATTCAAGCCTCAGAAAAATGGGTTTTAAAGTATATGACCGGGACTTCATTAACGGTCAGTCACCAATGAAGCAAATGTGGTTTCAGTTTTGGAATGAAACGGCACTACGGTTTACTATTATTATAACAAACTGGCGTTCGGATGTAGATCCAGCCCAAAGATCTTGGACAATCTGTTTCAAGCGGTATGTTGGATAGCGGAACACAAATATCACATCGAACATATTCTTCACTTTTTGGATGACTTCATCACATTCGAACAGTCTCACAAATGTGGGGAGAGGAATAGGGCCCGGTTGCACCTGATTTTCAACAGATTAGGGATTCCTAAGGCAGAACATAAAACATCTAGGCTGGAGACGGTTATGGAATACTTATGAATAGTACTGGTTTCTGATAAGATGGAGGCCAGACTACCATAGGACAAACTTGATAGATTCATTGAAACTTTGAAATCGTTTCAAAAGGACCACTCGTGTTCTAAAAGATAACTCTTTCGGTTGTTTTTATCTGCCTTAAAGTCTTTAAAATTGTCTGAATTGACGGATAGACCGACAGTATTCTACAGGGAGCTAAAACTGGTTGTCCTGGGCGTCGGGCAAGTGGATTTTTACAAACCCTGCAAACGTGTAGAGCAAGGCTCCATGAGTAACCAGACCACATCTGGGCCTCAAGGAAGAGGAACGTATTACAATTACATTAGATATATTATCACTAACAGTATATCGGATATAGTCAAAGACAATTTTCTGGTGTTTCTTGATGCTACAACAGGGATATCAACATGGACCTACCCCTACCAAAATCCGACAAACAACAAAGGTTATATTTCACACAGAAGAGGCTGACAAAAACACAATTTGTCTGAGGTAAGTCATCTTGCTGTAAGGTCGCAATCTTTTTCACATACTAGAGAATTTTCACGGGGGGAAAACTACCCATTTTACAAATAAGTGATCAAATGTGACATCAGATCCTTGGATTTTTGCACGTGTGGAAGGTTACAGAATTGATTTCCAGAACAAGGACTCCTCCCAAACTTTAATGAGGTAGTGTATTCGTTAAGGTCAAAGATTGGGGAAAATAGGGAAAGTAATGATTGATATGATGTGATATTTGTATAGGATCAGTCAAGTATCAATGAAATAACACGAAAGAATCTATCAAGTTTGTGGACATGAAATCGGGATGTAGTAGCTACAGTATTGGTGACATTGTGTACAGTGGACATGAAATCTGGATGTAGCAGTTACACTACTGGTGACGTTGTGTACAGTGGACATGAATTCTGGATGTTGTAGCTATACTACTGGTGACATTGTGTACAGTGGACATGAAATCTGGATGTTGTAGCTACAGCATTGGTGATATTGTGTACAGTGGACATGAAATCTGGATGTTGTAGCTACACTACTGGTGATGTTGTGTACAGTGGACATGAAATCTGGATGCCTTCCACACAAAGTCAAAGACACTAACAAAAGAAGACTAAAGTAAATCTCCAACACGAATATTTCCGGTCCAAATCATTGACATTTTATGTTGTGTGTTCTTCAATCTTTCAAAATCAGTTGACAACCATTCATGAAACTAGATTTGAATCCTCATTTCATGAAAATAAATGCGGTATATACTCCAAATTATGTGGAAATGATACCCATACCATTTATGGAACAAGATTGGGCTCCTTGTATTATGAAAAAATAATGTTATTTCAGAATCTTGCAGAATCAGTTGATATTTACTTCGTAGGGAGGAATAAGATTCTTGCAGGTTGTGTCATAAAAATAAGGAGTTGCACATTGCTGAATCTTTCAAGCAAGTTGATAGTGAATCCACATAACATCTGTAATTAAACATTTTCTACCTCTGGAAATAAATTATATAAATACATCAAATAATTCAATCAATAACTTATATCACAAATCAATTGATAGGTTAGTATTAACTCATTCACCCCTGAAGACACATTTGAACTCTTCCAATTCAATGGTTGGAATAGATCATTATAAAATGTCAGGGGTGAATGACTTAATTCAATTAAGGAATATTGCACCAACAATTCTATTAACTTGTTGGTGGTATTAAATGTTTAATAATGAACAATAACATAGAAACAAAACAAACATGCATATGTTTTAATTCTGAACACACATCTTTTCACAACAAGCATACTTTTGGGAGGTAAAAAGATATTAAGTAAACTTCAGTTGGAAGCAATATTTTTACAAATTAAATTCTGAATATGTATACGATAGCAATTATTTTCCAGACAATTGAGAAAGTGAAATATTGTGAACAAAATTAAAACACTTCAAAATATACTATTATATCTAAACATTTAAAATTGTCCGACGAACATATTTTTTTCAATAAATTAATTTTCATTTACATTCATGGGTAAACTTTCTGGCAGGGTTGGCAGACAGAGTAAAAAGAGTTTCAAATCCAGGCTCAGACAATACACAAAGCATACTGTCAAGACAAGAAACGGAATTTATCTCCATTCAATTAACAACAAATTTTAACATAGATATTATTGATTGTGTTTTTGAAATTTTCACAAATCAGAATCAAGTATCTAAATACCCTTAAGATACAATACATGTATTGCCCATCAAAGGATCATGATACCTATACAGAAACAGAATGCCTCTACTATGTTACAGCTCTTTATTACATAGAAATAGGTCAGGTCAGACAACCATAAACGTTTACATCAATAATCACTATCAGATGAACTGTCAGAGATGTTCATCTTGGCCATTTTTGAGCGAGCCTTAGTTTTCGACGTCCGTGAGACCCTTGATATTGTCATTTCCTCATCAGCTGTATTGGAGGATTGTTTACCCCTCCTTTTACGCGTCTGTCTACCACTAGGTTTCTGTTGCACTTCCATCTGTGAAACAAACCCATTTTCGAGACGATCAAAGTGAGATTTAAGTTTTTGTCCCACTGTCTCGCTTGTATCTTCATCGTCGTCCCGACAAAATCCTCCTGGTTCAAGATGGGATAGGGATTTCAACTCATCTCTCCTCACCGAAGATGCAGCAGCAACATTCGTTGACTTACTAACTTTGAGTTTACATGCACTACCCATTTCCTCATCACTTGAGCTACTCTCAGACAGCTCAACAACCTTAATAAGCTTATAAGGCTTACCTTCACTCTTCTTAGAATCACCTTTCAACTTGCCTTTGCCCTTTCCTTTACCTTTACCCTTTGACCTTTGCCTTTCACTGACCTCTTTATCTTTCAACTTTTTCTGTCTTTCAGCCATAGCATCTTTTGCTTTTTGTATATGGGCCTTATTTGCCTCGGTTTGGGAAAGTTCAGGAGTAGGAGCACTTGTTAATTTTGAAAGAGCCTTTTTGACACGAGAACTTTGTGCCTTTTTAGGTTCTAGAAATGCTTCTGGTTGAAAAAATTTGTCAATTCTTCCCTGACTCTGAAATAGATGCATGAATAATTGATTGATTATCAGTCTTTCTGTACGGCCCTTTCTTAACAGCACATTATTACTTTTTTCAACAAGATTCATCAGTATTGAAATTTATACAAAATGTGTATATTAAAATATTTGTCCAGTTATAATGGAGTGGGCTATTTACATTGTTTAACAGTACACTGATACACTGTATTACTTGCTGGATTTAGGGCGTTTCCCCTATTGATAGAGAGTGCATACACATCCTATTAAATAGGTGAGTACTAATGTTACTGTCTTAGTAGAGTGAATATCGGCTAGTACACTATGTTTAAATGTGATGTCATTCCACCATTTACATTGCGACATCACAATCAGTCAACAAATTAAGAGCAAAGATTTCTCACACAGCTGATCACAGGAGTTCCTCGCACGAGCAAAACCTTGTTCACATTATCTAAACCATAGCGATTTATGACTTTCTTTATTTGGGTATTGCATCCTTGAACCAGCCAAGGTTATGTTTAGACTGTACTCGGATACTATAACCTATCAGACTCAATGGCTATTTTCAAACGTATTCTCACATGTCTCAGGTATACATATTTTTCCAGGGAAGTTATAAATATTTCAATTGAGCTATCTGTAGCTATGACTGGAGAAAAATCGACACATCACCATCAATGTGAGATTGCCTTTTGACACAATATTTTCTTAAATTCAAAAACAGGATCTCCAGCAAAACAATAATTCCACGGAAGTTGATGTTATACCTGCCCCACTGGCAGCCATGTCGATTTCCAAATGATAGTCAAAATCAAACTGAAGTTGGTCATCGATATTATAGATATGTATAGGTAGTTTCATGAAAATCAATCAATAATCCTTACAAGAGTTATCACAGGAAAACTATTTGTGTAGTCAGTGAGGTCACTTCCTTCTACAGGGCTGATGGAGTGATTCCTATGTCACCGGTTTTTGCAGGCGACATAAAAACTATGGAACTAACTACCACAAAGTTAGATAAACACGCTCGTCACCAACTTATCATCAGGTTAGATAAACAGGCTAGTCACCAACTTATCATCTACCACAAGTTAGATAAACAGGCTAGTCACCAACTTATCATCAGGTTAGATAAACAGGCTAGTCACCAACTTATCATCAAGTTAGATAAACAGGCTAGTCATCAACTTATCATCAGGTTAGATAAACACGCTCGTCACCAACTTATCATCAGGAAATCTTTTATTAGATAAACACGCTTGGCACCAACTTATCATCAGGAAATCTCTAATAAGATAAACACACTCGTCACCAACTTATCATCAGGAAATCTCTAATTAGATAAATACGCTCGTCACCAACTTATCATCAGGAAATCTCTAATTAGATAAAAACGCTAGTCACCAACTTATCATCAGGAAATCTCTAATCAGATAAACACACTCGTCACCAACTTATCATCAGGAAAACTCTAATTAGATAAACACGCTCGTTACCAACTTATCATCAGGAAATCTCTAATTAGATAAACACGCTCGTCACCAACTTATCATCAGGAAATCTCTAATTAGATAAACACGCTCGTCACCAACTTATCATCAGGAAAACTCTAATTAGATAAACACGCTCGTCACCAACTTATCATCAGGAAATCTCTAATTAGATAAACACGCTCGTCACCAACTTATCATCAGGAAATCTCTAATTAGATAAACACGCTCGTCACCAACTTATCATCAGGAAATCTCTAATTAGATAAACACGCTCGTCACCAACTTATCATCAGGAAATCTCTAATTAGATAAACACGCTCGTCACCAACTTATCATCAGGAAATCTCTAATTAGATAAACACGCTTGTCACCAACTTATCATCAGGAAATCTCTAATTAGATAAACACACTAGTCACCAACTTATCAGGAAATCTCTAATAAGATAAACACGCTCGTCACCAACTTATCATCAGGAAATCTCTAATTAGATAAACACACTAGTCACCAACTTATCAGGAAATCTCTAATAAGATAAACACGCTCGTCACCAACTTATCATCAGGAAATCTCTAATTAGATAAACACACTAGTCACCAACTTATCAGGAAATCTCTAATAAGATAAACACGCTCGTCACCAACTTATCATCAGGAAATCTCTAATTAGATAAACACACTAGTCACCAACTTATCAGGAAATCTCTAATAAGATAAACACGCTCGTCACCAACTTATCATCAGGAAATCTCTAGATGGATATGATAATTTTCTGACAACTAAGACATGCTAATCACCTACCATTCTCTGTTTACTTAGAAATGCTAATCACCTACCATTATCTGGGAAACCTCTTACTAAATGGGTTTCACAATGATTTCACATTTGTAAACAAACCTCTATATGGATCTGACAATGTTTTTGTATTCTTAGACAAACATTCTAATCAGCCACAAAATCCTCAGCAAGCCTCTCATTAAATGGAATGTATAGTGTTTAGTATACTGACCTGTTTCTCGTTCATCTTCTTCATCACAGGAAGGAGATTCTCGTCCACCTTTTCTTTCATCCAGCCAAATTTCTCTCTGGCATAACTAGATCCAGGTCAGGAAAAACATGGCTATGTTTTGGTTTATAAAAAGTGAGAACTAGTATTGTGAAAACTAGTATTTTATCAAAAGTGAAAACTAGTATTGTGAAAACTAGTATATTTATCAAAAGTGAAAACTAATATATTTATCAAAAGTGAAAACTAATATATTTATCAAAAGTGAAAACTAATATATTTATCAAAAGTGAAAACTAGGATATTGACAGGATATTCCTTGTTTCTTCTGTTAAATACCAGTTATTACATTGAGTAGGCCGAATATTTTACATTTTACAACAGTGTGAAGCGCCGATTTGAAGGTAGGAAAAATACTCATTCCATCATTTTAAACATAACTGATCATCATCAAGAAACAAAAAATCTATAAAAGTCTGCATGACTTTATACATGTCACCCCAGCCAAGCAAAGGATACTCTCGAAGAAGGTCAAGGTCAGGTCGCGACCAGGAGAAGGCTTCCTCCGACTGGTCAACTTGTGGGTCGAGGTAAGCATCCACAACTGCTGTGCTGGGAAATCCTATCAATATAGTGATAACAAACGGTTTAACCTGTCACTATACAAAATCACAGGTGTCTTGGATATGGTAGATCAGCTTTACATTATTTACAAGACATCATGAAGTGGTTTCAGAGACACTCCTACCAAAATGTTTTGCAAAATGTACTATGGGAGTGATAACAAACCCTCAATCAAGGATTTGTCACAGATCTTTTGGTAAGTCTTCGAGTTTACACTGGAAAATATCATCAGAAAAACTAAAAATTCTTTTGAAAATGTATAATAAAATTCTTAAAAAGAAACAAAAATACCACTTTACCAGTTTTTTCTGTTTGTGTATTTGTAATTTATCTGTCAGAATAAATTCATAAAAATTAAGTCAATTTTTGGATTTGGGTCTGTCTGTACAATAGGAGTGATGAGAAGTCCCTGTAAAGAAATAGTCACCTTCGTTAATATCCAGCTTCCTGAGTTTATTCCTGATCTTAGTGTCCTTGTCTTGCTGATGTCTTACTCTGTCCCACCAGGACCTGAAACAACACCAGGCCACATCACCATGTGTCGACATCACCATGTGCCGAGGAACCTTATGACCATAATCACTGGGGATGTGTTACACAAGCAATTCTCATATTGTAATATATGGCAATATTTTAGCAAATATTGCAATTTATCTTTATATTGAATCCCTAGAAATTAAGAACAGTGATGATCTGACATCAGGTAATCAATTAAAATTGGAAAATATTATTATAAATTTTTGGTAGATATCACACCAAGCATGCTGCATTTGAATAAAATTGATTTAATCTGTTATTTTTGTACAATTATTTCATAACTTTGTTAAAAAAAAAACAAAAAAAACCCTGAAAACACACAACAATATATATTGCCATTTCAAAATCAGATTTCAATCTATTTATTGCTAGACAAATATTGCAATATATTGGTATTGCAATATTATAGCCCACCCCTAATAATCACTGAACTATTGAGAATTCTTGCTTTCACAAATGGGCTGGTGCATAAAGAGCTACAGAAGTAATATATGAGATCAAGGAGCCTATTTTGTGATCACCACCATGTACAATTATTTTCTCATGATTGAAGGCTTCAGATACAAGTAAAACTGGTTTTTGAATACTATTCAAATGTGAAGTAATATTTGCTTTACTTGAAGTCAACAAGTCCCTGGATTCCTTCCCCTGGAAACTCTGCCATGATCTCCAGAGCAGACACAGGACCGACCCTCTGTACCCCCAAGGTGTAGTCACTGCCACACAGCAGAGCGATGTTGATCATTTTCTCTCGGCACAAACCTATAAAAAACACGCTTTGGATAAGAATAATGGTCTATGAAGCACAGTTCTGGAGATGCTATTTATATGTACCTGGATTAAGAAAATACTACATGCATCAGTCTGTTTAATAAATTTTCCCTCATTTCTTTCAATAATAACCATTAACTCATTCACCCCTAAAGACACGTTTGAACTCTTCCAATTCAAAGGTTATTCCAGAATAGTCCATTATGAAATTTCAGGGGCGAACAAGTTAAATATGTTGTAGATTACTTAGAATTGATGAACACGCTTAATTTAGCCACCTTTACCTCAATAACTACAATAGTTAGTATTTCATGAACATGGATGTTTTACTTTATATAAAAGTTACAGTTTCTGTAATGTTTGACTACACAATTAATGTTGAAAGTGAATACAAACAAAAACATGCAAAATATAAATAATCTACAGTATGTTAATTGGTTTTATTTATTTTCAATTTCAAATTGGGTCTAGGGGAATCTTTTCAAGGAAAGTTGCATTCAAATTTTAGAGATTTGTTATAATACAAGGAGGAACATGAAGGGAAAAATTGAAGAAAGACGAAACTGTTAAAATAAAATTAGCCTTTCTAGACTAGCAGCATTTTAATGGGGTTTTACGGCTGACATAGCATAAGATCACAAGGCCCTTTGGGCAATGTCGGCTAAACATCTTAGACTTTACCTAATTGATCATCTATATTGGTTCTCTGGAAAAATTCAACATGCTTGTTCTGATTGAAGAAGTTTTTGTAGACACGGGTCCCGCCAAATAACCAGATATCGCTGTCGTCGGTGATGGATCCTTGTGTTTGATTGGTGAGGTCCATAAACGCACACTGAGCCTCAGCCTCCATCGGACTGACGATGTAGGGAACGCCAAACATCCGCAACAGCTCCTGAGCAAAATTTTAAATGTGAACAAGTTTCAATATTGGATTCAAACAGTGACATTATATAGATATATAACTTCTTTCCTTTTAAGAGGTTAAGTCCCAAATCCTTGTTTTAACTTGCAAAAATTATTAGTATTCCTCATTTCAATAGTCCTTAAATGTTCTTCCCATAAAATTTTGGAAGGATCCAAACTTTGTAATTTACTTGTTAAGGCAGCATACTTATATTCTAATTCAACCTTTTCACCACTGTAGACCATAATGGACTCATCCATATCAATGCATGGTCGAGTCTACTGAAGTTACACAGGGGTTAAAGGGTTAAGCTGCATGAGAAATTTAATTTGATCTGTTTCTAGATATTTAATGACAGAATGTTACACTGTCCCACGCAGCAAAAATAACCGTAAGAGAATGTTATCCTTTGTTCAAATTTCAAATACATCTTTGTGACTTGAAAAATTCTTTCATTTCTGCATTTTCATGGGGGAAATCTTGTCTTCATTTATCACCATAAAACGAAATAATTGTCATGATGGAGAACAACTAAGTCCATGTTTGTAAAGAAACACTCTAAGGTAGCCAAAACTGCTAAATGTTAGCATTGGTATTATTCCTTGATGATTTCCCTGTAACAAACATTTGTGTTTGAATTACACGAAAGAGAAAATTGCCATCCAGACAGATGCCTGACCAACTGCAATGTATAAACGGCAGCCACATTTTTAAGAAACCTTGTGGGCAATATGTCTCCAGTTTGAAGATCACACTTCTGACATTAAGCTAACTGATGTGTACTAAACATAGTTCAAAAAACATTTTCTGGGCAACTCTTTACAGGGATATTAAGTATACGACAGTTTTGCAGAGAGACGCATACAATCGATAACATGGGTAGTTGGGGTCTCTAAAATAATAGTCAGCACCAGTATAATTGGCCTCAGGGCAAATATGGCGGTTAATGTTGGTAATGGGGGGGAACAGCATACCTGTGCCTCTAGGTACATCTGGTCAGTTATACTCGTGGCTAGTCGGTCCTGTTTACCACGCTCCTGCTGCAAGCTTCTGCTTTCCATCTCGAGATCTTCCTTGTACCCCAGCAAATCTTCCTATAAAAAAATGAACAAGACAGCAATCCCTGAAGCTAAGTTTACATATATCTCATCTATAACAAATACAACACAGATACGCAGATTTATTTTGACAATACATTAACAATCATTACATAGCCAGCTGGTTACGTAAAGATACTTATTTATACTTGTAAATCCATAGTTCATAGCTAAGTTTTTCCTAAAAATGATATCGTTGTGGTTGATCTATTTTGTACCCAATTTGTTTAACTGTCATTCGTCTCACTACTATTACTGGGGGGTAGTGCCACATCAGCAGTTCTCAGTTGTCAAATATGTCGGACATCTGTTCTATTTATTCACTGAACCATTATTTTGTTACATATTTATGTCCTGAACTAATGATAGGCAGAGATAACTACTTTATTTTTCAACAGCAGCACAAACCTTCATTGCCAATTCCTTTTACTTACTGCTACCATTGTAAGTCATACCTCTGTAAAATCCTGAAATGGATTTGGTTCCTGAAATCCACCAGATGTCGCTTCCATCAGTTCCTTATCTGTAGTCACGGTAACCGGTGCCTCCTCCTGTGAGACCACTTCCTGCGGGGGAGAGGGAGGGCTAATTATCTGCTCCTCAGGTGGAGAAGGTGGTAATGTCACAGTATCAATGACTTTATCCTTGCTAGCTTCACTTGTAAACATGGAGGCAGGAAATAGGTCATCGGGTACAACACTTTTAGTTGGATCTATAGAAATCTCCATGAACCCTTCATCTACAAGGTAAAAAATAACTTTGGAACATTTATCTCAGTTTGATATATGGATGTTTTTGCACTAATTTTACTCCATGCTAAAAATAAAAACATTTTAACACCCACTTATTTCCACTTTTCCAGTAACCTAATTATTGATGTCCACATCATTGTTGGTGCTAGCCTGTAGAGGGGTCCCAAGCATAATTCAAATAAAAGAATAAGAAAAACTATCTCGTAACTTTTTAGTCTCCTGATATTGTTTGCTTCAATTTTATATTGGAACAGCATCACTGTGAACATTGCCAACATTTACAGGAAGATTAGACATTGTATCTGTTCAATTTAACGTGCACTGGAAAGATTTCTACGTATTTGCAATTTCCCTTCCCGGTCACTGGAATGTGTATGATTTTGTCTGGTCAAAGGGCAGTGCTATCCAGTTGTACTAGCAGAACTTTAAATTATGATATGATGTATCTGATTAACCTCCTCCCCCCTTCTGTTACTGGAAAGACTCATAATTTTGTCTAGCCAGTGCTAGTAATCTGTACCTTCAGAACTGCTGGCCACAACAGCTACAGGAGCAGTAGGCTGCTGGACGGTAACATCAGCACTCAGCCTTGGTTTCTTTATGACAACATCGCCATCATCACTTGAGAGTTCTACGACATGGTTATCATTATTGCCCTTGCTGGTGGACGGTTTCGGATCATTCACAAACAGGAGTTGCTTTTCTACTTGGTTGTTGGATGGATTCGAGTTTTGCACAAATATATCATTTTCTGCACGACTGGTGGACGGTTTGGTGTTTTCAGAAATGTCCTTTTCTGTTTGGCTGCTCGAAGGTTGAGCATCACCGTTGACATAAATTACAGACGTATCGGCAGTAGATGTTTCGCTGGATTTTTCTGCAGTTTGAGATGGTTTATGTGTGGATATAGTTTCTATCCTATTGACATTGTCAGGTATAACATTATCACAAGAATCGGAAACATCGGCTGCATCAGCAGAAATTTTTTGCAGTAACTTGTTTTTCATCTTCAACACTTCGCTAAGAATGTTACTTCTGTCATGGTCACCAGACGTACCTGGCTTTGTAAGGTTATCAGATATGACTATTTCCTCTCTCATCACATTTTCTCCAGTTTTTATTTCATGACTATTTTCAGGTACAGTTTCCATTTCTTGCCTAGAATCTGATGAATTCAAGTCTGCTATTTCCTCTGTTGACGACTCCTTCATATCTGTTTTTCCAACTGATTCATCCAAAATCTTTTGCTTCACATTTTTTCTTTCGTTTTCTTGTTTCTGTGCTTCTGCTAGTTCTGCCTGAAGTAACTCCTCTTCATATTTCTTTGCTTTGGCTAGCTCTTCGTCTCGCCGGTTCTTGCCGATACCTTTGATCAGAACAAAATGGGACGAATCCTCCGACATCACTCGTTGCGATTGTATCACCGAGTCACCGTAGTAATCATCTCCGAGTGTCAAGCTGATCTCAGACTTACATGGAGTATTGATATCTTTACGAACTTGCTCAATTTTTGCTCCCAGTTTATTCTGTTTAAGAATTTTTGCCATTTGATAACTTGAAAAGTCAAGAGAATCCTGCAAAAAATAATATATCATGATCAATATCTACAAATTTTGAATGCTATAATATAGTTCCTCAATTTTATGTCTATGTTCACATGTATATATTTTGAACTCATTCACCCCTGAAATTTCATAATGAACTATTAAAATCATTTTATTGGAAGAGTTAAAATGTGTCTTTAGGGGTGAATGAGTTAAAAGGCCATTACACTGTAAGATAGTGTCCTTAAATAGTTCCCTAGACCATTTTAACAGCTGTTGAAACCAAGTCTTACAATTATCAATTAAGGTTAAGATTTCAAGGAGGTGAATTTTTTGATCGCTTACTTAACAAGGAATCAAAATAATTTGATGAAATTGAAATCTTCGTCTGCTCCGATAGGTGAATCTTTATTGGAGGAAATCAAATTAGAACAATTATCATAATCTGCCCCATTCCTACAAGAGAAACAGCATGTTTCACCATGTATTTTGTCCACAAATTACCACACTGAAACAGTACTCTATTTTTACATTGTTTATGATGCACATATTTAAATGTAGATAACCTTCACTTGACCTAGACTTTATGGTCGTTTAAAATGATGATCAATCAGGAAAAACATGCTTTTGACAACATGGGTAAAACTTTCCAGTTTGGTTGAATGTTGCATTTATTTTTGCAAATTCTAAAGCACCAGTGTCCCTTTCCCAAATGAGTACTGCGCAAAAAATGTAATGTCCAAGAACAATGCCCAACTGGTTGTGATTTCTATTTTTATATACATATTTGCAAATGTAATAGCTATATAGACATAAATCGAGTTTGACCTGTCAACTTGGCAAGTTTTGACACATCTATTGGTGTAATAAAGACACTAACAATTTTCGGCGCATTCAAATGGGACGAATAGTGCATTCAATGAAATCTTATTGTTCGGGTCGCGGGTAGAAACTAGGGTTGGTCTCTGTACTTGAAACATACAAATTAGTTTTTTGGCCTAAATTATGTAATGGTAATGCTCGTCAGTGTTTATTTTATTTATATGGCCATGTAAAAAGAACACAGAAGTTTCACCTATACCTCCAGGAAGTTACGAACTTGCCCCCATTCTTCGGACACTAATATCAAATACCTCTGGAAGATCATTGACCATGGCCGACATGTTGTGTTTTCGCTGCTGCTTCATGGTCGTGAGGATCTCGAGTTGTAACTCGGACGGCAAACTAGAGAAGTCTGGCGAATCAATATCTATCTCGTCCAACTCATCCTCCTGTAGAACAAACAAGCTACGGTATTTATAGTCACTGTAAACAGGGTCAGCACATACAAGTTTGATACAAATATTTGTGTATTATTTGGGAGTGGGGCAAACACATTAATTATGTAATGCAGAATTTATTCTCGCCGTGTAAAACCTCTAACACTGTTGGAGTATGTTTTAGGGTGAAAACCAAATCTGGGGACCTGCACATTTTTTAAAATGACATGATCATCAGTTCTGCCTGACCCCCACAGATGATAATTCAAAAATAATTTACATTGTATGCAATTGTTGAATGTTTTCTCTTAAAGATGCTTTTCTCTATGTTTTGGTACAAACTGTTACACACACAAAGAGTATATTATTCCACTTAATCATTTAGGATACGCCTATTCTCCTACATTATCAATCAGTATTACATACAGCGAGAATTTCCTGTGCAGTGACACTTTCTTCCCAACTTTTGCATTCTTCCTGCATCCTGCAAATTAAAAACAATCATTTTATCCATCAGTCTATGAAACCATCAATTAACACTACAGATATAAACTCCATTCAAACCCATGTTGAAATCATGGCAGTACTAACAAGTTCCTGCACATTTTATTTTATTTTACTCCCAATTTTCCCCCCCCAAAAATAGGGTTAATAAAACTCGTCTGTGGTGACAAGATCATGCAACTACTTCATGGGGCGAGAGGTGGAAGTATCATTTCCAACCAGATTACAATGGGTCACCTAACACACATACTTTGTAATCAAAGACCTTCACTGTTTGTAAATATATTCACCTTAGAAATTCAGGAGGTAGGGGAGGAAGCTCAAACATATCTCTGGCCCTGTTGGAAGTTGGCACTTGACTGGTCGATGGTCCTGCATTGTCTCCAAGAACTTCCTTTACAGCTCGACTTTTCATCAAATTTTGAAGCAACTTCTGATTTGTTTTTGTACTCTCTTTTTCTGCGAATTCACGAGTTTCTCTCCTGGATATCTGTAAAATTGATATTTTTATCAACAGTGCATTGCAACAACAAAAAACTTTGTAAAGTTATTCCATTTCCATACTTGACCAACTTGGTAATAATAAATTGCCAATTTTACATGTAATTTTTTAACAAAACTTATAAGATACAGTTCAGAAGACTGCCTCTGAAAGTATTCATGACTGGCCATGGTTATTTTGTCGCCGATCAAAAATGACACATCACTCTTACATTTATTTACGACTGTATATCAATTTCATTTCCATCCAAGTTTAACCCTTTCACCCCTATGTAACTTAATAAAATTAGTGGACTCTACCATGCATTGATCTAGACAGGTTCAATATGGTCACATGATCATGAGCAGATTTTAGGTAAGCTCACCAGCGTTTGTTTCTTCAGAACTGGAACACCACCATCAAAGACAAACACAGGTTTTATTTTGTAGAATAGGAGCTTGCAGAGACGAGAAAACAGGACCTGAAGATGAGCATTTGGGAGGGGATTTCCGTCCTTGTCCCTTACTCCTTTTACAGCCTGGTGGAGCCATATGCTAACATCTAAAATACCAGTCAAGGAACCCTTCACAATGTTCTACAGTTTATAAGCTGTACAAGCCCGTATTCACAAATCAACACAACCGGGACTCGAAAGTTTTTCAACTTTTCTTTTTCTTGCCCAAGACTATTGGTATTTTACCACTTAAAGCACTACAGAAAGGGTCATGTCACCCTCAGAAATGGGTAAAAAAAAATCACAACTGCAATACAAATGTTCCCCCTTTCTGTCAGAAAATTCCCTTCTAAACCCTGATTTTACTAACATTCATCATACTACCACAGATTTTTGAAAATCTTGTATAAAGAAAACAGGAAGATTGCCCTGGACCAATTTTGTGCAGCTCCCTTACAATTTACGTATATATATTTCTGATTTCTCAATGTGGCAAATACCTCCCAAATCTTTAAATTATGCATATCATTTCTCACATATTTATTAAGTAAATAAACAAGTCAGATGTACTGTCTCTATTGTGATTTTATGGTTTTGTTTGTGTCATACGTCCTATTAACAGCCATGGTCATTTAAGGACGTGCCAGGATTAGGTGGTGGAGGACAGACTGCCATGCCCCATATATCCCAACAGTTCTATATGATTTACACACTTGAAAAATCTTAATCAATGTAAACACATATATAGTACTGTATCAAATTTAAATAAATATTTTCCTATGGTACCAATATATATAACGATTTGGTATGAATGAAACAACTTAATTATTGGAATGGAAGGACTCATTTCCTTTACCCCAAGATGGTCTCAACAAATTAGGATACACCCGCTTTACAGAGATAAACTGCAACAAAAGTTAAGAAACTGCTCTGGAAGTCTACATAGGTTCCCTTTACCAATAAACTACAACATGTTTTCCTAACACCAATTTCGTCATGTCGACCCCATAACTGACTGTAGGAGTATTACTATTACAAATGCTACAACATTTTGATATAAAAAGACAGCACTGATATAGCCTTTCTTTTCAAAGGATACCAACTGAAAGAATTTTGCCATCTAGTGACAAGAGGGAGACCGGTTTGCCAGTGGACTGGATCAGCTGCCATAGTCCCTGGACACCCATGATTCTCCTCACGCAGTCTTCCTCCGTCCGTCTTTAAAACTGTTCTTGATCTTCATTCAAATGAGGTAGGAAAGTGTTAACTGAATTTTTTTTTAAAGAAAGTTAGTAAATGCAATGTAGAAAATTTTGAAAAAACTATCCGAAAGCTTCCGCTGACAGCAAGTTTAACTCTTCACACGTGCATGTCCTGCATGCGTAAGGCACCGTGTGTCCTGCATTTCCCGCGCCAAATTTCAACAACAAATCAACAAAAAATAGGATGGTTCCCTTTCAAATAAACAAAATAGCATTCAGAAAATGCAATTAACATTATCGTCAACTACTGCTACAAACAAGAATAAAAATTATGCTCGAAAAAACAAAACTTGACAGGATTTGCATAGCAAGCATAATGTCTTTTCAGACCATGTTTCCGGAAGTAAATATGAATATGCGTGCGCATATACTTTCAGAGTTCTCTAGGTTTATCGTATTTTTACATGTTTTGTAACACCTCGGCATTTATCATTACATAAAGGTATTTAAATTTGCGGTAACACACGTGTTTTGAAGAAAAATGGCGGACAACGGTAAGTAGCATGGGTGAACGATAGAGCGCTTATTTTAGCGATTGCACAACTGACAGCAATCGAATGCACTTATTCTACGAAGTTATACAAGACAATGATTTTATAAAGCTTTCTGCAGGAGTATTTTATAAAATGATCAATTATTCTTAGGGCAATTTGAGTTTTATGGCAGAATTGGCTAGCACCACGTGTTTACAATTTATTTAGCACCAGCAGTAAGCTTTGATTTGGTCAGGCATACACACACTTAAAAACCTAACTTGTAAACATATATGATCATAACTTACGTGGATGTTTTGATGGTTGCTATACACGATAGGTTACAAGGTAGAATGCATCGTATTGCCGACAATAACCGCCAGGTTGGCCACAAGTTAGTAATATTATATCACAGGAGTCTGGCGTCTTATCAATAAAAGTATATAACAATCNTTTGGCGCGGCGCGAAAATTCAATTGGAGTTATCTCCCCTTAGCTTGGGCATAGCTACAATCTGTATATAAAAAAATACGGAGCCTGTTTAATCTACATACATTCATATTGACTGGTATTGTATGGAACTATTTGGTGTTGAGCAAGGAGTTACACTTTAGACCTTATATTCCAAAACACAAGAAATCATGTATTTTGAGTAAAAAAAATGTAGAATTAGTATGAAACTTTCGCAAATTCAAAAACATCAAATAAGTTATATCTATGCCAAGTGGCATGCTTATCCCAACACTCAGATGAACAATCAGTGCATAAACATTGAACATATGTAGAACAAAATTGACAATTGATAAAACAATGGAATTGCTTAATTGTAACAATTGAAACAGCTGCTTTCCTTCAGGCTAGGAGACTTAAGATTACTACAAGTAAATCAAACTTCATATATTGAATTAATCATTTTACTGTAGTTGTGATGGCAAATGCATTTTATATTTGAAAGTATACTTTGAGGAAAAAAAACACATCAGGACATGGAATTTACTTCAGCCACTGGTGCTGCACATATTATACAAGATATATAATATAAAGCAATATTTATTATCAATATCTTATACTTATAGCATATAAAGTATCCTGTGCCTTTTAATTCAATTAAGACTGCTAGATATTTGAAATTGACAAGTTTCAGATGAGTCCAGAAGCCAAAACTATTAAACAAAATGAAAGTGTGTAGGAAAAATATATTTTTTATGCAAGTGTACTCAAATGAGTTAAGTTGTAAAATTCAACTCAAAATATAAAGTAGAAAAGGAATTATTGAGAAAACAAATCACTTTTCATTTGAAAATTACCTAAAAGAACCAAACCTAATCTTCTGTTATATTAAATCAATCTTTAAGTGACGATTTAATTTCTGTCATTTGTCATTCTTTTATATATGCCGATTTTAATTTACACATGTTTTCAAAAACAGAAATGGTATTATTTTGGTTGTTTTAGCTTATTCTAAAAACATCAATTCATATTTGTGATTTACCCTACTCTTTTTGGTACCCAAAAAAACACTTTCCGTCAAACTTTTACCTTTGTTTTTTGTGCATGTAAATTGTAATACAATAGGACATGTTTTCAAAAATTAGGTGGTGAAAATCCTATTATACTGGGGCCAAAAAAGGGCCTGACAGACACTCATCCATTATTCAAGATATTTTTGTCTATAACCTATGCTGAAAAGGCTAAATAATTTTGGTCATAACATGCAATAATACCTCAATATATTATTTTTCAGACAAGAAGAAACGGAAATCACAGAGTTTGGCTGTAAGTTTATTATTCATTCATGAATACAAATTTATGGAGATGTTTTTGTATGCACAAATTTGTTATATATATTTACATAGCAAAATTATGTAACCAGCAATCAATAATTTCAAGATATAGAATCTATTTTGCCCTATAATAGGAATTCAATTTATGTTTCTAGGATGTGCAGCACTCAGAAAACTTTCTGCTGCAGCCTTCATCAAAAGTTGACAAGTTAGATTCATCCCAATGGCCACTGTTATTAAAGGTAAGACTAGATACATGTGATGTCTCTGTGTTTCTGAGGGAGTCTTTTTTACAGTGATTGAAAAACTGCCATTTCATTAATAAGTCTTTAATTTATGAAGATTGTTTAATATAAAAGCAAAATACATTATTCTGATTCTGGTAAAAGTAAGATACGTTTTTGCTAGAAGATCTGTTTTAGTTTCAAACCCTGCTAGTTATAGCTTACAGACCATTTAAAGGGAGCATTATGATAGCAATTTGAATTTGAAGCAATGAGATTGTAATATATATTTTCTGTTCTGTACGCTATTCATAGTGAAAACTACGGTTAGAAATTCTGAAAAACTAAGAAATTGATCTACATGGAATTGCTCATTTCACATTCTGGTATGTGGTATTTTTATTACAGAATGTTGACAAACTCCATGTCAGGACAGCCCATTACACACCCATTCCAACAGGATGCTCGCCATTGAAGCGACCAATTGATGAATATGTCAGGTATGCTTTTACAGAGAAAATGGGTTAATTCCTGACCATTTTATAGCATCTTAAAATTTCACCATCGACAATTAACTAATTCACCCCTGAAGACACATCAGAACTCTTCCAATTCAAAGGTTGGAATAGTTCATTATGAAATTTCAGAGGTGAATGAGTTAATATCTTAATGCATTTTCAAGTTGTTGCAAATGTTTATTAATGGCTTGACTACCTTGGAAACCTTACATTTTTGTGCGAAGATGAATCATATTATGTAAAAAATAAAACAACTCATGGTCCTGAGTTTCTGATCCTAGATCCTTAATAATCCTAGATCCCAACTAACCAACCTGAAATTTTGAGGACATCTCTGCAAGACAGAAAAAAAATGTGTTATTTAATCTGAAGAATCTAGATGTTTGCTGCTATTATTAAAAATATTACACTATAATATTAATGGAGCTCTTCTTAACTTGTTCAAAACAAGTTTGATAGTATTAGAGATGTCTTGTTATTTCTCTTCAGGAGTGGATTTTTCAACTTGGACAAGCCAGCTAACCCTTCATCTCATGAAGTTGTGGCGTGGGTCAAACGCATCCTGAGAGTTGAGAAAACAGGACATAGTGGTACACTTGATCCTAAGGTTACAGGATGTCTTATTGTCTGCATACAAAGGGCCACACGACTGGTGAAATCACAGCAGGGAGCAGGAAAAGAATATGTGTGTATATTCCGCCTTCACAGCCCTGTCGAAGATGAACGTTTGGTTGCACAGGTATGTCCAGGACCCTGATCAATTGTACAGTTTTAACTCGATTAAAGCATACAGAACGACTTAATAGTCAGTCGTGAACACTGAAGTCAACTTGCCTTTTTGATTGCGAAAAAATCTTCCAATTCATTGGAAAACGCAAGTTTATTATCAACTTACCATTGGAATAAGAACTTGGGCTTGAGTACAGATCCCGAGTTTGAGCATGAGAACAGTTTCATTAATACCGGCCCAGAACTCTAAACAGTGTTGATTCTACCTTGCAGTCATCTAATAGTTTTATAGAGTTTAATGTCCTGTGAACCGCTAAGGTTAATTAAGGATGTCACCATCGTCGCAATTCTCTTGATAATACTTCTTGATGTTTGAAATCTTTTATAAGGCAACCAAAAGTGTCAATCTTCTTCAGAGCAAAAAAGTGCAAATGTTTAGTTGGAGGGCTTTTCAGAACTCCTCAACAAACCAGGAAGCCAGTGAGGAAAGAAACACAAAATTTTAGAGGAAACTTTCAAAGAATGATAATTCCTTTTTGTTTATATGCATCATGTGTTACCTGTGTCTCTATATTCCCAAAATTTAACTGATCTGCGGAAAGAGCTTTATTTATTATTATATAAAGTGAACAAATGTAAAGATTTTTTCTTGTGTCTGTTCCACAGAAACTAGAGATGCTGACAGGAGCTCTGTTCCAGAGACCGCCCCTTATATCTGCCGTGAAGCGACAGTTGCGGATCAGAACTGTTTACGAGAGTAACATGTTTGAGTATGACAAAGAAAAGGGCATGGGTAGGTGGCTTTATTGTCTGGCTAGCTTACAAGGTCATATAAAAGTCAATGATACTTTAAGACTAAAAGGGTTTTTATATTTTATGTTTTAAACAAATTATAATTTTTCAAACAAATTGCATGATTCCAATCAAATTTTTCCTTTGCGCTCATCATTAGCTAAAGCATTGCTACACTACCAGCCGTTCTAGAGCTGAAATATTAACAAGGTGCAATTTCGTATCTTACTCAGGCATTTTCTGGGTAAGCTGTGAGGCTGGCACATACATTAGGACCATGTGTGTTCACCTTGGACTTTTCCTTGGTGTTGGAGGTCAGATGCAGGAGCTCCGACGTGTGCGGTCAGGCATTCAGTCCGAAAAGGTCTGTAATACATGCAGTAATTACACTCATATATTTGTGACTAGCTAGTAATGTTTCTGTTGATTGTTGTAAAATATTTATCTACAACAATTGGTCCACCTTGTTAACCTGTTAAGTTCATCCATTGAAAGCATTCGTTCATTGTGGACCTTATATTGATGGTTTATAGTGTGAGAAGCATCATTGATTATGTATAGTGATAGGTTTACCTATTTGGAAGTGGTTCTAAATGTTACTGGTTTTTCATTATGTAAGCAGTGCTCCCAGAAACTGCCAAAAGATGGTTTTCATCCCAAAAACAGTTAGTTGTAACCCCAGTTTTCAAGAATTGCCCTATGTTACTTAGTATCTAGGGGTACAAAATCTTTAAAATGTATCAAATATACCATACCTGCCAACCCTGGACATACTGAAAGAGGGTTATGACCCTCTTTTGAAAATTAAAAAGAGGGTCATAGTGCGCGATGGCTTTTTTCGCAACAAATATAAGAAAAATAGATATTAAATTATAACTTAAATATTTTAATGATGTAAAAGTTACATTCTACATTCATTGAACTGTTCTTCCAGCAGATCTAGCTGATCCTCATCCACAATACCAAATTCAAAGCTGAAAAATAAAAAGATTTGTCAACAACACAACTTATAAAATTAATTCATAATAATATATATGATACTGTGTTTTCACAGGCATTTTTTGTGTCAATCGAAATGGTCCCGACAATAAGATGTCACATTCTGCTCATATAAAATACCATTTTGTTTCTGTCAAGGAAAATGGTCCTGACAACAAGAAGTTGCACCCTTCTCATATAAAATATCAGTTTTATACGAGTAGGGTTTGAACTCTTATTGTAAGGATCATTTTGATTGACAGAAACAAATCATCAAATGCCTGTGCATGTTTTTGACTAGAGTGCAGAATGCAGCGTTTGGTCCACGACCACGGGACTTTGTACACTATAACTCATTTTCCTACGACATTTGATATGTGTACAATTATCTTTTCTTTTAGCAATTCGTGTAGTAGAACCTGCAAGTCCCGATAAAAACTTCTTCCTTCAAGAAGACATAACGTTACCTTCAAAATACGATCTATTCTACGTAAATACAACTCAATTATTCGTTAAAAACCTGACTAATAACTTGTCGGTAAGTTCAGTAACAACGTTCTTTATATAAACATTTGTAAAAATAGTTCTAGTACGTATATAAACAACTCACAACTTACCTGTTGGTGAGAAACGGAAACAGGAAATAGATGTCTTTCTTGTGAAGAAGGATGGAAAAGTCTAGAGAATTCCGAGTGACTTCGGTAACTTCTAATATACGAAAAGATTCCGGGTGAAAACGGGTGAAATTGACGAAATCCGGGTCAAAATCGTAACCCGGAGGGTGAAGTTATAAAAGCCGGTGAAGGGCTAAAATCCCGGGTGTAACCCAACGAAATCGGGTCACTTGGCAGGTATGATATACCCGAAATCTAAAATTCAGTGGGAACACTGTTAGAAAATGATCCAGTGCCCAAGCTCTAACTATCCTTTTTCTGGGGTAAAATATAAATTTTATCTGTAAAGACAAAAACATATGCATGCATTGATAGATCCTTGAGAATCTGTACGTTGTTTTCATGCGTAGCTTTGTTTGGTTTGTTAGGAGGGATTGGTGACCATGCATGACGTACTGGACGCTCAGTGGATGTATGATAACCACAAGGACGAAACTTATTTGCGCCGCATAATCAAACCTCTGGAGGCTCTCCTCACATCTCACAAACGGATCGTCATGAAAGATACAGCTGTAAGTGTAAACAGTCTTTGACCTTAACAGCGCAATATTGCTTCAGAAACGGGTACATGATTAACACAGGGTTTGAAAATTTACCTACACCGCGAAATGTTTGTTCAGAAACAGGTACATGTTCAACATAAGGTTTGACAGTTTACCTACACCGCGAAATGTTGGTTCAGAAACAGGTACATGGTCAACATAAGGTTTGACAGTTTACCTACACCGCGAAATGTTGGTTCAGAAACAGGTACATGGTCAACATAAGGTTTGACAGTTTACCTACACCGCGAAATGTTGGTTCAGAAACAGGTACATGGTCAACATAAGGTTTGACAGTTTACCTACACCGCGAAATGTTGGTTCAGAAACAGGTACATGGTCAACATAAGGTTTGACAGTTTACCTACACCGCGAAATGTTGGTTCAGAAACAGGTACATGGTCAACATAAGGTTTGACAGTTTACCTACACCGCGAAATGTTGGTTCAGAAACAGGTACATGGTCAACATAAGGTTTGACAGTTTACCTACACCGCGAAATGTTGGTTCAGAAACAGGTACATGGTCAACATAAGGTTTGACAGTTTACCTACACAGCGAAATGTTGGTTCAGAAACAGGTACATGGTTAATACAGGGTTTGAAAATTTACCTACACAGCGAAATGTTGGTTCAGAAACAGGTACATGGTTAACACAGGGTTTGAAAATTTACCTACACAGCGAAATGTTGGTTCAGAAACAGGAACATGATTATTACAGGGTTTGAAAATTTACCTACACAGCGAAATGTTGGTTCAGAAACAGGTACATGAGGTAAACACAGGGTGTGAAAATGAGTCATAAAGCCCTGAATTAATGATGCATGCCTTTAAATATTTTTTTGAAAAATGAATAATGGTTTGTATCAGATATGAGAGTCCTAAGATTCTGACCCTGAGATTACAGGCACACTGATGACGGCAATCACATCTTAATCTTAACTTGTTTATGATAACAGGTTAATGCTGTGTGCTATGGGGCCAAGATCATGTTGCCGGGAGTTCTCCGATACGAAGATGGTATCGAAATCAATGACGAGATTGTCATCATTACAACTAAGGGCGAGGCTGTAGCCCTGGGTATGTACATTGTGCTTTTACTGTTATAACAAAGAAACTGGCCATGGCCTGAATTATGTATACTTCATGTGTTCCCCAAATAAATATCAAAGGGCCACAGTAAAAAAATCCAGTTTTTCAAAAAGAATAGAATAAGATACGAGAAGACGAGGATCTTTTTACTTTATTTATTGATGTGATATTTTTTGTAGCCATTGCCCAGATGACCACTGCTGTAATGTCCACTTGTGACCATGGTATTGTGGCCAAAATCAAACGTGTTATTATGGAGAGGGATACATACCCAAGGAAGTGGAAGCTAGGACCTGTAGTAAGTACTCTGTACTTTTGAAAATTATGACCATCGGAAAACTTCTGATACTGTAATTCTTGTATTAATACTGTTAATGTATATAACTGTAGCTTGAAAGTTTTCTCTCCACACAATTTCGCCTTCTTGCCTTTAAACTAACTTGCATAAATCAAAGAATATGCATTACCCAATACCGGTAACGTTTTATAATAAAGCTACCCAATAGCTTTTACCATTTCATGAGTACATTCATGGTATGGCACTGAATGGTAGCAACATAGATTCCACCAGATTCAAAGCCGTGGACGTGATTCAATTCATTTCATGTTATGAACTGTGTGGTACATTTTCCAACACTTTAATAATATGATGTGGCTTTTATTAGATGATGACCTTTTGATTTGATAACTTGCATGCATAACTAAAACAAATATTACTAAAATCAAAAAGAAGGTGACATTGTTTCAATAATTAATACAGATTTAAAACCAAATTTCTTACTTCTAAAATTGTGTAACCATGGTTTTAGCAGAGATTTGGGTCAAAAAATGTATCATTTCAATAAATTGCTATAATATAAACATATGATGTTCTTTTAGATCATGTCACATACTAAGCTCTCCATTAATTTATGATTTTAAGAATACTGAAATTTCCTAAAGCATGTATAAGTATCTTTCATTTTCTTGATTTTTGTACACTGAAAGGAACACTTGAGATAAACAAAGGTAAACTTCCAGTGTTAGCCTTGCCTTTTAAATAGTTTGGTCCTGAGATATTCTAGAAATGTTGATATGTTATAAGAAAGTATCTTTCATTATATCTTTCAAAGATATGTGGTCTTCTATAAAGCTTATTATAGGGACTAATACAACATGAGCACTTGACTTTTTACACTGAAAAAACAATTTACCCAAGACTGCACACGTAACTTTTAGATAAAATGATGCTTTATAGCAACCTCATGACTGTTTTCTAAATGCCTGGACACACAAACTTGTGATAAAAAGTTTTATTTCATAGCTACCCAATAGCTTTTACCATTCCAAGCTTACATGCATGTTATGGCACTGAATGGTAGCGACATTAAGTCCAGCATAATCAAGCTTTGGAATGTTTTCACTTCATTTCAGTGCTCAAATTGCTTGGTACAGAGGTTTATACCATAAAGGCTGAAAAATTGTAAAACTAAGTCTTGAGCCTTATATTTACGTACAAATTTGTTAATTATTAATAGTGAGTCTCATTTATTTATAAACAGAAATAGTAAAGTAAGTATTGAAACTTATTTAAGCTATGAATGTTTTAGCAAATGTTGTTATGGTCCTATAACACACATTGCTATTGATGACAAACTTAATAAAGCCTTTATGCAAGTTAGTCAGTAAAAGAAATGTGTGTTATAGGACTATAACAATATTTGCTAAAATATTCATTATTTATACTTACATTTTGATAGAGAAGTTACACTTCATTTAGTTAGTTCCAACATATCTTTTAACAGCAAATTAAGAGTTGACGACAATAAAAGTGATGACGTTGCAATATAGCAAATGTTGCTATAGTCTCTTAACAACACTTGCCTTCTCAATGCATTGTAATGGAAGAATGCAAAGCAAATATAAATATTAATAAACAAATTCTTCAACTTAATCTTGAGTCTGAATTATAAACAAATTTGTACAGCTACGTTTGGAGTCTTATTTAGTGTAATCTCATGTAACTTCACTAACTTCACTCTGATACAGGACTGTGATACAACACGAACACTTCACTTTCTAAACATATTTTTTTTTACTGAAGAGTAACTTTATAGCTACCCAATAGCTTTTACCATTCCAAGCTTACATGCATGTTATGGCACTGAATGGTAGCGACATTAAGTCCGGCATAATCAAGCTTTGGAATGTTTTCACTTCATTTCATTGTTCAAATTGCTTGGTACAAATACAGAAATTAGCCAAAAAATGTCAGGGGAAAAAGTGAAATAAATATGTATGCCTGGAGTCTAAAATAATTTAGAATTGCATCACTTCTAACCACAACTTCTTTTGTAAAAATTTAGAATTTTCTTTTAAATACTAAAAATCATTAATCAGGTAACCAATAATAATAATAATAGTTTGAGGTTCTTATATACTGCTTTATCACAACCTAGTTTGTATGTCGTCTCAAAGCGATTCACAAAATATTAAATGTGATTATAGGGCCTTTGCAACCAGTCAATATCTTTCTCAACTCCATGGGGAGCATACAGCCAGTGCTGCCATTTCTACAATTCTAGCACTAGACTTCCTTGCCTCCTATACTTTTGATGCAAACTGATTAGGTTTAAAGTGAAAAAGGGGTTATGAAAAGGCTACCCAATAGCTTTTACCATTTCATGATTACATTCATGGTATGGTACTGAATGGTAGCAACATTAATTCCAGTAGATTCAAGCCATGGATGTGATTCAGTTCCGTTCATGGTAAAAACTGCTTGATACAACTATTCGCAAAACACTTATGGAATTATAAAGCTTTCAATGTATATTCTGCAGTGGATTTTAGGGTGTTTTGGCTGTAGAGCTTGAGTCCATATCTTTGGGATTATCAGGACTGTGAAGTACTTCATTGATAAACAGTTTCTTATAGGACACTGTTGTACAGAATAAGTTGCTAGATTGTATGGACTACTGCACATGCTGTGGTCATTGTCATCCATGCTTCATCTTTTCCTCTGAAAGTCTACTTCACAAGAACAGCTGAAGTAAATTTGACTTGATTAAGTCTGTGGGACTGGACGTGTGGGACCAAGAAGAAACAAAATTTGATACATCAATACTCCCAAAGAATGGCTTACAACTTCTTCTTTTTAAATTCCCTGTTACAAATGTAAATTTTTAAATCAATCTTCAAATATTAGATAGAAATGTAGTTTTATTAGTCCTGTTGATCAGTCAATTATTTTCAAGATGTGTTGAGACTTTATTTTGTTTATTATTACAGTCAAGTAAGAAACAGAGGATGAAGGCGGAAGGACTGCTAGATAAACATGGGAAACCAAATGAGAAAACTCCTAAAGACTGGGTCAGCTCCTACCATGATTACAGGTAAAACCAAGCAGCTTGACATTACTAAACTAAACCTGTGTAATTGGCCAACATGTATATATGGGAAATTATGATAATAGTCCATATAAAGACTTTGGTTAAAAGTGTTTCATTTTCTTGACATGCAATCAGTTAAAACTATAAGTGAAAGAATATTCGTTGTCATCAAATTAAAGTTTTATGGTCATAAAATTAGACATCTTTGCCCTAGTCTGACCAGCCTTTTAAACAAATTGTTCTAAATAATTGTATTCTCCATCAACTCTGTACAGTTGATTTACAATACTTTATTGAATGCAATATAAATTTCAATTTAACTTGAAGTGTGTATGGATGGTTGTTTGTGCTGATGGTAGGGCCGGATGACAGACATTTTTCAGCTCATATAATTATGTTTTTTAAAAAGCCGAAATAAAAACTAGAATTGTACATATTCATCATCCTACTGATCCCTTTTAGAAGATAAAAGCAGAGATAATTTAGATTTGAATACCTGGCTTGATGAAGAGTATGGCCCTTAGTTCATGCTCACACTACAAAAATGATGTTTACCTGTCAAGAATAAATGAGATAAAATTAGATTAAACTTACCTATTGGATGTTACAGTGCTGTGAAGAAAGAACCACCAAGCAATGGAGGTGATGCTGTTCCATCCACACCTGTCCAGACAAACAAGGTAAGAGTCATACCTCCCGCGTCCACACCTGTCCAGACGAACAAGGTAAGAGTCATACCTCCCCTGTCCACACCTGTCCAGACAAACAAGGTAAGAGTCATACCTCCCCCATCCACACCTCTGTCCAGACAAACAAGGTAAGAGTCATCCCTCCCCCGTCCAGACAAACAAAGTAAGAGTCATACCTCCCCTGTCCAGACAAACAAGGTAAGAGTCATACCTCCCCCATCCACACCTCTGTCCAGACAAACAAGGTAAGAGTCATACCTCCCCCATCCACACCTCTGTCCAGACAAACAAGGTAAGAGTCATTACCTCCCCCGTCCACACCTGTCCAAACAAACAAGGTTAGAGTCATACCTCACCTGTCCACACCTGTCCAGACAAACAAGGTAAGAGTCATACCTCCCCTGTCCAAACACACAAGGTAAGAGTCATACCTCACCTGTCCAGACAAACAAGGTAAGAGTCATACCTCCCCTGTCGAGACAAACCAGGTAAGGGTAATATACCTGTCGGATCAACTGGAGAAGAGATGTCCAAATATTTTTCAGGTTTTGTGTGATTTAGAAACAGGTACCAATATTTTCAATGTCTTTGCTAGGAGTCAAACCCAGGACCTCTGGCTTGCAAGTCTTGCTCTCTACTTATTGAGCTAAAGAGAAATTCTCTTTAGCCAAGCCAGTAGGAAGCAGCTAGTATTTTACCAGGGTGACATACAAACCTCTGAAACAATCACAACTGAGACCCAAAAGATAAGGTTGTAATCCATACAATAATGTCTCCCAACAAAACATTGAATCTCTTGCATTTATAAAGGTTGAAAAGCATGTCAGATGTTGTAATGACCCCTTTATACTGAACCTGTGGTGTTTGTTTCTACAGAGAAAGCTAGAGACAAGCAGCTCAGACGAGAGTGAGCCTCCCACCCCAAAGACGCCAGCCACACCTTCATTAGACACACCTAGCTCCAAAGACAAGAAGAAGAAGAAAAAGAAGAAGAAGGAACAAGATGATGAGGAAGAAGCCTCAGCAGCTGATGCATCAATGGGAGAGGTATGCAGTCAGAAACAGGCAGACTTGCTAGTTGCCAACTTTTTTTGCATGCTCAGAAATAAAACCATAAATGTGTGTATGTGCAACCTAGGGGTAAGATAAGCCTTTTCAGTGTTCTTTTAGATGAAATCATCAGATCTTGAAAAATAGGCATAGCTTAGCATTTCAGTGATTGAAAAAGCTCAATTTTAGGGTCCAAAATAGGGAGTGTTGGCAAGTATGCAGGCAGCAGGTATTTAGCACGTGGGTTTTATATACTGCAATCTGTTATATTCATGTATGATGTTATCATCTTCAACTATCATTACCCCGATCTTCTTCATACTTATTAGCACATCGGCCAGGATATATATAGGCATGTGCGTCTTAGTCATTCAAGAGGAATAACTCATTCAGAGCAGCGTCAGAATAAAAATGGTAGACCACTTTGGGGATTGACCATGTCTCCTTTTTGTTGAACATGGCACATATTGGAAATATTAACATATGTAAGAGTGCATTTGTGAAAAACATTTTCAAAAATACAGGAATGATAGCTTTTTTCAATTAAATAGTTTACGTAGTGTATTGTAAAAGGGTATAGTTTACTTATGTTTTGTTCAACTTTCTGACTCATTCAACAGTCAAACATATTTTTTACCGGCACAAGATTTGTGGGTTTTTTCTTGGCACCTTTTACAATAGATATTTGTTTTATTTCTGGCAGGTATCCTCCGAGAAAAAGAAGAAGAAGAAGAAGAAACACAAGAAAATGAAAGAAGATGACAGTGATTGAGACAGAAGTTGTGTTGTTGATGGATGAATGTGGTGAATGTGTGAGAGAGATGTTGATCATGTGTTGAAAGTTCCTGCTAGAAGCCTTTTAGTTGGTGACTTACAAACAATTTGGTCGTCTAAAGGGGTCTGACGTTATCCTGTGTAAATAAAAATAAATAAACTGATATGCTTATTGAGTCACATGTGTTCAGACAACTATGTAAACAGACCTGTGTGTGTGTATAGAATCAAAGTAGTTAAGGTGCTGACCAATAAAGAAAAATAAAACAAACGGTATGCTTATTTAGTTACCAGGCGCCTAAGGTACTAAGACCCTCAGTACACAAAACAGAAGAATACGCCATCCATGTTGACAGTGGGTGATGTTAACTGTGTTAGGAAAAGTAATTGTCTCAGACTGAAGATTCAGTTGTAAGGAAAATATCTAAGCCAATGGGCAAATTTCTGCTTATTTTGACCAAACTGTTAATTCCAAGCCCATTGCATAGAAATTTCCTAAAATTGCAAAAATGTTGGGGGCTATCGGTTTAATGCTTATGTAGCCGACAGCACTACCTTCTTAACCACTGCTTAAGATTAAGTATTTAGAATGGAATATAAAGTCTAGTGTTCAATGTATTGATGTAAGCCTATTTACCGATATGGAGGGGAACTGATCTGTGTTACATCTATGCAAAGTAATGCACCCATCTCTTTGTACAACAGTTTTTACAAATCTTAAAAGTTTAGTAATAATCTTAAACTACATGTGTTTTCACAGGCTGTTGAGCGTAAGATTTAGGCTACATGTATAACTAAATGTGTTGTCATATTCTATAATTGGCGTGTGATCCTATTTACCCCTTCTCTAAGGACTTGACCTGCTGAATGTTTAGAGTGACATACAGAAGTAGGTGGTTGTACTGTGCATCTTTGTTTCAGAAAATTGATAACCTTGACTCTCGTATACAAGTGGTATCTGAATGTTGTTTGTTACCATGGCAGTGCCTAGACTTGTTTGAGTCGGATTTGTCAGGGCGGTGTGAACCTTTATACAGTGTACATTTTCACCCTCATATTGTTTACTTGATCATTTAGTATTTTGAAATATTATCAACAGGTATGTGCTATGTTGTGATGTATACGATTGCTATATGTGTATCTGGAGTTAAAACCAAACCCATGTATAGCTTGGGATGTACAGCTTGAGATACACATTTCTTACTTCTTATCAGTGCAATAATGGTGTTTCACTGTTTAAGTTTTACTGTGTTCATTGATAGAGAATTAAAGTGTACATCATACAAGGTTATTTTGTGAATTTTGTAAAAAAAAAAACACAAAAAAACAACGGAAACCCTTAGGAAGAAAAGTCTTACATTTAAAACTGGCAGCAATTTTTAAACTGAACAATATTTTCCCTTTTCATCTGATCAATTTTCTATATGTTCGATTTCCATAATTTTCAACATTGTTTGTTGCTCAGTCACAACATGTAATGCAGTGTAAATGGGTTTCTGCATTTTCACAACAGGAAAGACATTTACTTTACACATGAATAAAGATATTTTTTTTTATCTAATTTTATGTTTGTCTCATCGATCATGGTTGACACTAGTAGTGACTTTGTAAAATAGTTTTTAAGGGCATTTCATTATACCAAGATATATTGCATTTATATAAATCTGTCCAAAATTCCTGTTAGATATCTTTAAAAAAAATATCAACATAGCAATCATTTCTACTGCAACTACACCTAATACTAGAGTAGTTATTGTTTTGTTGGTAGATAAGGTATCGCTCCTTCCTTGGAGAAGAGAGCAGGAACCATTCCAGCGTAAGAAATTAAGCGGTGTGTACAAAGCAAAAGGTTGTGGACCTGTAAAATTGTAGGAGAGAATTTCAATAATTATCTTGCGTTGTTAAATGCATCAATGAGTAAAGGTCTTGATCATGTTGTTTTAAATGTTAAATTCTCGAGTTGCAAAGTTAGTATATATAAAAGCTTTCTTTTCTCGAAATTCCACTTATGTTCTCTGCACCCCTGGAATAGATTATGGCAAAATGTATGGCACACTGTTGGCTACTTGATTGGTTTCAGGTGATAAAACTCAACTATCACTTCACTGATACCTAGCCTTTTAAAATCACAAGATCAACACCCTTCTTCAAAATCAGTCAATTTTATCTTAACGGTGCCGTGTGATTCATTTGATGTACATCAAAGGATCAAACTAGTCTATTTGTATTTTCCACAGGAAAGTGTTTCATGACATATTTCAAAGATGGAGAGAACACATGAGAGTGTCGCCTTGAATTTTTAGGATGCTTATAGACTAACTGTCTATAGAGGTTCAAATGGCATTATTTTACTGTCAACTGAAACCTACTGTTTGATTAGAACTGCTGTAAAAGTGTCCTGTTTTAAATTTGATGTAACCACAGATAATAATTTGTGAACTGCTTTGAGACGACCTACAAACTAGGTTGTGATAAAGCGGTATATAAGAACCTCAAATTATTATTATGTACATACCTGTCCTCTTGTTACTGAATTATTAAAAGATAATATGTTGAAACGGAGCAAATTGTTTATATAGCCTGCTTTTTATTAGTATTAAATACAGCAGAAGTATATTCTGTTCTTTTGTTTATGAAATAGTATTTTTGATGGGAGCTCAGGCCAGCCAATCCAGGATAAGAATAAAGTTAGTTTTGGTCAAGACTGGAAAATCTATGCTTGGACATATTAATATCCCTCTTCCAGCAACAGTGCTAGCCTTTTTACAAAAGTGGGGTCTCAAACAAGAGATTGATCTGGTTCCAAATAGGAATATGAGACAAAAGTTTTTCAGAAAATGCCTGATCCAAGTCAACTTGCTCAAGGTATTTTAAAATACTTATGGTCAAGAAGATTGTTCTTGAGAATTGAGCTGGAACCAGTGCCATATGGACATTTATTTGGTATACAAAGATCGGCTTTTACCTGGCATTCTGATCACGGCCTCCTACCCATTGATTTAACAATCAAAGGGAGCTAAAACATTCATGCCGGGGTAAAATACGGGGGGAAAAAGTGGTTTTAAATTTTAATTAATAGAACTGTCAAAAAGATTTGATGTTTGAATGATGCCCTTGTCCAAGTGCATCTGTTAGTAGTTGTTTGACCATTGACATAAGTTCTGTGCTCAATATAGTTACTGAGCATATGATTGGATTTATTAATTCATTTCAAATAAAGCGGTAATCTTGTGGATCTTGTTCTTGTCGTTTGTTTTGACATTGTTCATCATGGATACAGACAACTTAACTGTCACACTTCAAGCTGATTCCATGCGGTGACTGCATGAATCTTTAATAATAACATAATTAAAACATTAAATTAAAAAAAAAACAAAAAAAAAAATCATTTAAAGTATTTTGACAACATGTATTCAAGGTGAATTTATCGGAGGTTGTCACTTTAAACAGCTTTTCGTATTGCGGTAGATGATGGTAATATTTTGTTGAGATATTGATATTCAAGCCTGAAAATACACAACCCTTTTGAAATTGTTGAACGTCTGAAGGAGAGTAAGCAGTAATGACAATATGTCAAGCATTAAATGAATAATTGACCTCACAAAATTAGGCTCTATGCATTACCTTTTATTTCTCAATCTTATGAAAAGTTAATTTCACAAATATATAGTTCCTGTTTAAAAGGGGATGACATGCGCTCAACCAATCATGGCACCTATTAGCTTTTGCCTTGGTACAGAGGGGCCAAGTAGTCCAGGCGTCTGACATTCTGCTTCCGCTAGCCTTCCATCACTGGGTCGCGGATTCGAGACCTACGTGGGGCAGTCGCAAGCCACTGGCCGTAGGTCGGTGGTTTTTCTCCGGGAACCGGCTTTCCTCCACCACCAAAACCTGGCTTGTCCTTAAATGACCATAGCTGTTAGTAGGACTTAAAGTCTGTTATCACAAAGTTGGTGTCATTTTTTTCGGTCAAATTACCTTATCTTTAGAACCATAAGACCTAGGGTAACAATGATTAGCCTGTAGCTTACAGGGGTGGAGGAATTTTATTTTGTGCAAAAAGAAAACATAGACACGCAGACAAGATCTCGGATCAAACATCAAAAACTTTAACATCTTCTCATGGAGCTAAGGACCAGAAGCTTGGTCTTTTTTCTAAATCGTGTGCTTCCTCAACCCTTCTTCCCACGATACAGTCGGCTCCAATGTCACTGTCCATGACCAAGGGACAATGTCGGGACGCTGGATGGTGTCAGCGATCTCTGCTGAAATTACCGTCTATTGCTGTACCAAAGATTCCCCTGGCCTAATCTGGACTTTTTCCTTGTTGTCATTTCAAGTTGAAATTAAGTAATATGTGATTCTGATTGATACTGATCTTTTTCTTTCTTTCTCCAGCGAATCGGCGATGGTTGCCAGTGCCGTGCCATGTCTCCGGTATCCCGAGTTCCCCCTGGCCTTGACACCAGACATTTTGACAGATAGATGTCTGGTGTGTCGTGTCAGGGCCAGAGGAAACTCGGGCTATATCTCCGGGTGTAGCGTCCCTTTCCCAAAGCCAATGGTAAGATGAAAGCACGTGTTCAAGATAATTTACTCTGTCGCATTGTTTACATGTTGGGTCATCGATACGTCCCCGCGTTCTTTGGCTCGTTGGGCTTGGTAAGAGATCCTTCACCGCGCTCAACTATAACCTTATTCTCGATGTTTTCATGGACTAGGAGTTACTTCACTTAGGGATCTATTTTCTTGCTCCCTCCCATTTCGAACAATTGTTTCGTTGCAACTGTCCGTCATTGACGATCTAATCTAGCTAGCTCTCGTCCATCTCTCTTCTTTGTTTCCCCTTTCCAGTTAATTCTTGTGGTCAACCCCGTTTCCTCTCTGTCCTGTGCTACAGTTTCGATGTCAAATATCACTTTATCGGAGCCTTGATTTTGCCTGTTAAATGGTTTTCTCCGACCTCCACTTTCTGCCGGTTCCAATTACTGTCATTTTTGCCTTTCTGACCTTTTCGTCTACACTACCTCCTAGTATCATCTGCATGTTGTCTGTGGTGACCTTGAATCACTCTGTGACGGAACTGAGTGGAGTTGTAGCTTTAACTGTTACTTCTCTCATACAGCTATACGTGAAACTACGAGTAACTCCAAACCACCTGAAAAAAATACCATTTATTTCTTCTGCTGTTGTAAGAGAGAGTCTGTACCTCATATAGCAGCACAAGAAATATATAATTAATGCTTTGGAGTACTTCGTGCTGATACATCCAATATTTTAACTTTCCTAGGAGCTTGCTCTTATCCTGTTGACCCGTGTCGGTCGTTGCCTTATCCCTGAGGTCCTCTGCTCATCTTCTGTAACCGACTTGAGTCGATCATCTCTGCAACTTGGTAGATTGGAGAGACAGAAAGAGGATTGCAAACATGGAGTTATCCAGTGGAGATAAGCTGCAGGGGCTGTTTGATCATTGTACTTTGGAATAGCAGAACGATGTTGTTATTATAGCAATCGTGAGAAAGGTACAAGCGATAAAAAGAGCATCATGCTGGGTGTGGATGAAGAAAGTCGATAGTAACTGGAGACCCAACATCGGCATATAATGATTAATCTGTTGACCCCCTCCTCTGGTTGTACCAAGCAATGGATGGAAACTACGATGACTGGCCCTGGCTGAGATCATGGCGGTGAAGCAGTAGCAATTGCTGCTATAATTGACCTGCACGTTTACTGGCATGAAGGACCTGGACTGAGTCGATTGTCGGCGACCATGTTACTTAATTGGTAGAGCGCCCGTTTAGAGTTTGGAGGGCCCCGGGTTGGAATACCGGTCTGGCCATTACAATGGTATACATTAGCAGTATTAAAATTCATATGGTAAGAATGAGTTTTAACACTCCAAACCTTTTTCTCTGCAGCGTATCATAAAGCCTCGAATGATAATAATGATATTTGAAGTTTGCTGGGGTAAAGTGTCATATTAGTTTGTTCAGTTAAGCTTCCTAGAGATATGTTTATGATAACGTGAATTATATGTTTTGAAAACTTCAAACAAGTTCTCAAACTATATAGAACATAGAGTTACAACATCAGTACTTTTGATTGGCTAAACGATCTGCCACATCGACGAAATCCACATGCTATCGCCAGATGTCAAAGCATTGTACTGTGTATACTAAATATATTTCACTTACAAAAGCTGATTTATAGAAGTCCTGTTTATTTCCATATCATTTTTGGTATGTTGGTATTATTATGTTTGATTTTAGTTTTGACGATCTTTGATTACTAAGAGGAGATATGCAACGCGACAGATTGGAACTGTTTGATAAAGCTTTCTTCTGCATACCTATAATGGGTTTTATTTCTCTCAGAATAGGAATAGAACCGTAGAAAAAAGTAAGCAGAAAGTATGATTTTAAGATTGTCGAAACTCTGTTAATTCATATGGACATTTTAACTTCGCACACCAGAAGCATAACATTAGACAGATAGAACTATTTCTGCGACAAACATTGGTATAAAAAATACCTTAAAAAACGATGTACATCTACAAAAACTGTCTTTTTAGAACAGTTTTGAGAGAGGGGGGGGGGGTTAAATTATAATACAAAGTGGAGGAAAAAAAAAGATTTTTAGATGTAACTTCTGAAAATATTGAAAAAATATATATATATATTCCTAGAAACGAAAATAAACTGTACGTATCTTCATAGTTCATATTTATTTTTCGATTACAAAATGTTCAAGTATCCTATCCAAAATCCTGTTGGCAGTTTGGATATAAACAAAATATTGTTGGATTCATAAAAAAAATACTGAAATGTTTTGTGACTGAAAACGCATATGCCTTCTCTATACAGTGGTCTCCCCCTAACACGTGTTAGTGTGTTTATAAATCTATTTTTAGAAAAACTTGGCGGAAAAAATGTCTGCGCATGCGCGAAACAATAGTTCCCCTTCATTTCCGGCAATCCTCATAGTAAGAGCAGCAAATTTGCCGGCTAACAAAGAGCAAAACAGTAACTAAACAAGGGGCAAGCCATGCTCACAGTCATACCACGGTGTTCTTAGGATCCTATTGGATTCAACATGGCTGGAAGTTTCTGGCATAGCTCCCACTAGTAAGTATAATTCGAATAAAAATATCTCCATTTGTAACGACAACATTATAGCCGCTGTCAATTTACAAGAATGAGATCCCCCATCCTCTCGGGATGCAGTGGTCTCGCTCATTTATACATTCTGTCAGTCCATCAAATAACAGGTGCTGAACACAGAATAATGATGTTTATTACTTATGAACATAATATATCATATTTGTTTCTGTTTTCCGGGCACTTTTGCCTTGGGCAGTAACGTCAACTTTTGCAAGGTTTGTAAACAAACCATATTTGAAAAGACTTAATTCCAGTTATTCCACAATCTAGGACTAATTTATGAGAAAAAAATCAGTAGATTGTGGCGGATGCTTCAGCCATTCCCTGTGAGTTATGAATGTCTGTCCAACGTTCTTGCTATATAGTTATCCCCTTCCTGTTAAGAGGAAGAACCAGTGTGATAATTATTTGAAACATTTTTTTTTTATCTTACTGTTCAGAAAATTAAGGTTTTTTTTTTTTTTTAAATTTTTGAAGTGCATGATTGCAAAAAATATATATCACTTTTCAAAATGCATTTAACAAAAAAAAATCTTAACTGTTCATGTTTTAAAATTGCACCATGATGACCATTCAGCTATATCCCTCGATGTGTTGTTTCCTCATGTTGTAGCCAACAGTGGTTATTGGACAAACAAGATCTCTTACGTGAGCGACAGCAGGATCTTAAGGTCCTGAGTGAAGAGGAGTACCAGAAGATTCTCATATTTTTTGCAAACTGTATGTATTAAATATTCCAAATTTGAAAACAATTCAATTAACTATAATATTGTTTTCATAAACTGGGTATGGGGGGAAAATATATTCTAATATACAAAATGATTGACAGAGATTTTTCTACCTCTTTTTTTCAGGTAGCCCAAGTTTCCTCTGGCCCTAACACCAGACTTTAACATATAGTTGTCTGGTATGGGGCCAGAGCGCACTACAATATGAAAACGTGGAATTCTCTGACACCGTTTGGTATCGGAGAGTTTTGAGATGCTGACAACAATAATCTACTATGATACAACACATACTTCACATATATCGATAAATGGATTATTTATTGATCCAAGTCAGCTCTTATTATCACCAATAGCTGCTAAATTCGGTCAGTAGAGTCCTCGATTTTCAATCGTTCAAAATTTCCCACCTGAGCGAACAGCATTTTTGTAGGTCATGGGGTGACTTATTAACAAACCTTACTGATCTGGACCTAAAATAGAATCTATCATTCTTGTTAAAAAGATTTCCGGACCGCGTCTTTATGTTGATTGGTCATTCCACGATACCAAACAGTGTTTGAGAGTTACGGGGGATCCACGTTTTTATATAGCTGTGCGCTCTGGCCCCATACAAGACATCTATCTGTCAAAATGTCTGGTGTTAGGGCCAGAGGAAACTCAGGCTATTTCACAGGGACCTGTGCCTTGTGAGTTTAAGAAAATATCACCCACAAAAAGCATGACTTTGGGAAAACAAGTGTGTTTTTTTGCATTGAATTTGAGAAAATACAGCTGAAACTATCAAGGACATTTATAAGGCCCCAAATTTATGACACTAACAAATTACTGAATGTATACATGTTTTTAACAGCATGCTTTCTGTGTGTTGATTTTTTTATTTCCATTAAATGGATTTAAATTTTGGTATTTTTGTTTCAGTTATTCAGTCTTTAGGGGAACAACTGAAGCTGCGACAACAGGTCATCGCTACAGCAACAGTGTACTTCAAACGGTTTTATTCCAGGTTGGTTATACTTTAAATGTTTGCATTTCTACTAACTGCATACCATCATAAATATTCAGTCCCATTTCAATCCTTATATTTAGATTCAAAACGAAACAACAAGAGAAAGTTATTCTATTTTCATTCATGATACCAAACAGTGGAAGTGATATTTTTGTGTAAACAAGGAAGTATGTCCTATGGCTATCATTTCTGTCAGCATCACAGCATGACTTTTAGACTGACCACAATCTCTAGAATATTGAATTATTAAGAAAATAAATTAACTCTAATAATTTCTTAAGTTCTAAACTAGGGGGAGATAAGCTAGTTGTAAAATGCAGTCGAGAAAATCTTCATAAAAACTACATGCCTTTGACCCTTGATTACCCTAAAAAAATGTTAAAACGATCTAGAACCAAACCGTCTCTGATTGGAAAACATTTATAGTACACATTGAACTACCAACTCAATTTGCATTCATAGGCACTATGAATGCAAATTGAGTTGGTAGGCTTATTTAGAAGCTGTATACATGAAATGTATATATTTTCCCATAAAACAGCGATCTCCCAAATATGTCATAGCAGGCTTGTATGATACTCCTTTATTTTCTTACTTTTTTTCTTCTCAAGATATATATATGCATAGTAAAATAGTTCTCCCTAATTTAACTGTGATCTTATCTAAAATATTAGTTAATAAAGGTAAAAGCATAATGCTATGATGCTTTTAAAACTGTCTATATGTTAACCATTGTGAAATGATTATAACGCAAATGTATCCTATGTCAGAAATGTATTTGAACAGTTCTTGTGATCTAAATATTTTCACACATTTTTTTCTTTCAGAAATTCTCTAAAATGTATAGATCCCTGGCTAATGGCACCTACCTGTATATTTCTCGCCTCAAAAGTGGAAGTAAGTATTAATAGATGCGTATAGAAATTTGTCTTATAATCATTTCTAAGATAAATTTGGTCCGAACCTTGAAAGCTTGAGTCACAATCCAAATGAAAAAAATGAGCCCAGGATTCAGAAATCTATTATGCATTAATCAATGTACACCAGTCCTTTAGCTTAGAACTTGTTCTGAATGCATGTCATGCTTTCACATGTTTGCTAAAAACAAATGTGTTAATTAATACTTATTAGAATTAAGAGGATATTATTATTATTAACATTATTTTCCTTCCACAGGAATTTGGTGTGATCTCGAACAGCAGACTTATAACTACATGTCAGACAGTGGGTAAGGCTTTTACTTCTCCAACAATTACTCTGGCGTTCTACAATGCTATCATTGATGGGAAGCAGTTTATAAGGTGGCTTGCATTGTTCTGGACATTTATACTTTAAAGGGGCTGGTCAGGGAGAAAAATACAAAATAAATGGGTTTAAATGCGTTCTCTGGCCTTCCAAAAGTTATACCACGGCAATATGATGGTCGAGTTCTGCTTGCAATGTCCAGTTTTGACCACTGAAATCTCGGGGAAGCCCCACGTAAATTTAGCACAGATCTATTTATATATGTCACATGGGTGTTTCGAAAGTGAGGCAGTGAAGATAACAACAATAGCACTCCGTCATGTGCAATGTCGGCGTGCACAGACAGCAATACTATACATAAATAATTGTTTTCAAAGGTCATTTATGATGCAAGTGTAGTATTCCTACCTATGTTGTTGTTATTTATAATGGTATTGATACCCCGTGCCTGTCATGACTTTTGTATGCATCTTTTTCTTTCGCCGCGATGTTTACATTTGGCCTTGTTGATGACGCGCCTGCGGTAAAATTACATCACTGATCTGAGTCAATTGAGAGTTTTAGACTGTCAGGTGACGATTTAGGATTTCTTTAATATAATTATTATTTTTACTCTTAGGGAGTGAATTTCAGCAAAATTTGTTACGGTATATTTCATAAGAAGGTATTTTAAACATGTGTATGCCATTTTAGCAAATATGACATTTTTTCCCCGACCAGCCCCTTTAAGATCATCATCATCAGATGGTGGGTTGTTTAAAATCGCCCTTTGTCCAAGGTCTGTCCGTCCAGCTGTCATTCCGTTACACATAAAAATACCCATGTCTTAAATAAGAATCCATCCATTACTGACAGCTTTCAAATGTAAAAATTACAAACTTTCATTATTTTGCTTATAGTTATGCAATTCTTATGCATAAACAATTGTTATAGTGGCAAATAACATATCACATGATAATGAGGTTTAAGTTGATGTTCAAACCAGGGACTCGCAAAGAAATTGGACGTAAAAGGTTATCTTTTGTAGATCTGATAAAAATCATCGATTGTGGGCACCAAGATCCTAAAAATATTTTTGTAGCCTGTATGGCTTAGCTATTTTTTATGTACACAGGCCTCGGTTGCTCAAATGTTGGTAACAATTACAAGTGGTTAGGGATAATATAAAAATATGAATACAGCAAAATCAAGAACATCTGATAACATTTCACTGCTATATATTGGTTGAGACAAACAAGAGTGATGGGTTTTGAGGATTAATTTTGCTTTGAAAGCCTTTGTTTCTCATTTAAATTATTGGCAATACAAAAATGTAATGTTAATTTTTCACTAACCATTAGTTAAAGTGTAGCAATCTTTGAGCAACTGAGTCGTACGTAGTGGCCTATATATACGTAGTAGCTATGTTTTATGTACTCTGGTGGGCTATATAGCTATCTTTTTATGTAATTTTACTCTGTTGGATAATGTAGATATCTTTTATGTACTCCGGTGGGCTATATAGCTATCTTTTTATGTAATTTTACCCTGTTGGATAATCTAGATATCTTTTATGTACTCCGGTGGGCTATATAGCTATCTTTTTATGTAATATTACTGTTGGATAATGTAGATATCTTTTATGTACTCCGGTGGGCTGTATAGCTATCTTTTTATGTAATATCACTGTTGGATAATGTAGATATCTTTTATGTACTCTGGTGGGCTATATAATTATTTTCTGTGTACTGTGGTAGCCAATGCATATCTTCCTTATCTGGCTGCCTGTAAAAGATTCTGTTAGTGTAAATTATATAAATATACTTAAATACGTTTAAAATAACAAATAAATATGTGGTTAATCAATAAAAATAGAAAGCAAAGTTTTGTTTATATTTCAGTAAAAAACAAGTTTTCTCACGCCTATCCTCAGGAGTACCCTTATAGAATCAACAGTGTGCTAGAATGTGAATTCTTCCTCCTGGAAATGATGGTGAGTATTCAGGTCTGGGTTTGGATGGCCACCTAATGATGGTGATGTTCAGGTCTGGGTTGTAGTGGCCACCTAGCAATGGTGATATTCAGGTCTGGGTTGGAGGGGCCACCTAATGATGGTGAGTGTTCAGGTCTAGGTTTGGGTGACAACCTAATGCTGGTGAGTGTTCAGGTCTGGGTTGGAGTGGCCACCTAATGATGGTGAGTGTTCAGGTCTATGTTTGGGTAGCACCTAATGATGGTGAGTGTTCAGGTCTAGGTTTGGGTGACAACCTAATGATGGTGAGTGTTCAGGTCTAGGTTTGGGTGACAACCTAATGATGGTGAGTGTTCAGGTCTGGGTTGGGTGACAACCTAATGATGGTAATGTTAAGGTCTATGTTTGGTTGACAACCTAATGATGGTGAGTGTTCAGGTCTAGGTTTGGGTGACAACCTAATGATGGTGAGTGTTCAGGTCTATGTTTGGGTAGCACCTAATGATGGTGAGTGTTCAGGTCTATGTTTGGGTGGCCACCTAATGATGGTGAGTGTTTAGATCTGGGTTAGGGTGGCCACCTAATGATGGGTAGTGTTCAGGTCTGGGTTAGGGTGGCCACCTTATGATGGTGAGTGTTCAAGTCTGGGTTAGGGTGGCCACCTAATGATGCTGAGTGTCCATGTCTGGGTTAGGGTGGCCACCTTATGATGGTGAGTGTTCAAGTCTGGGTTAGGGTGGCCACCTAATGATGGTGAGTGTTTAGATCTGGGTTAGGGTGGCCACCTTATGATGGTGAGTGTTCATGTCTGGGTTAGGGTGGCCACCTAATGATGGTGAGTGTTCATGTCTGGGTTAGGGTGGGCACCTAATGATGGTGAGTGTCCCTGTCTGGGTTAGGGTGCCCTCCTAATGATGGTGAGTGTCCCTGTCTGGGTTAGGGTGCCCTCCTAATGATGGTGAGTGTCCATGACTGGGGTAGGGTGGCCACCTAATGATGGTGATGGGTTAGGGTTGTCACCTAATGATGGTGAGTGTCCAGGTCTGGGTTAGGGTGGCAACCTTATGATGGTGAGTGTCCATGTCTGGGTTAGGGTGGCCACCTAATGATGATGAGTGTCCATGTCTGGGTTAGGGTTGTCACCTAATGATGGTGAGTGTCCATGTCTGGGTTAGGGTGGCCACCTAATGATGGTTAGTGTCAATGTCTGGGTTAGGGTGGGCACCTAATGATGGTGAGGGTTCGGGTCTGGGTTAGGGTGGCCACCTGATGATGGTGAGTGTTCAGGTCTGAGTGTCCATGTCTGGTTTAGGGTGGCCACCTAATGTTGGTGAGTGTCCATGTCCGGGAAAGGGTGGCAACCTAATGATGGAGAGTGTCTGTGTCTGGGTAAGGGGGGTCACCTAATGATGGTGGGTGTCCATGTCTGGGTTATGGTGGTCACCTAATGATGGTGAGTGTCCATGTCTGGGTTAGGGTGGCAACCTAATGATGGTGAGTGTCTGTGTCTGGGTAAGGGTGGTCACCTAATGATGGTGAGTGTCCATGTCTGGGTTAGGGTGGCCACCTAATGATGGTGAGTGTCCATGTCTGGGTTATGGTGGTCACCTAATGATGGTGAGTGTCCATGTCTGGGGTAGGGTGGTCACCTAATGATGGTGAGTGTTCAGGTCTGGGTTAGGGGGGCCACCTAATTATGGTGAGTGTCCATGTCTGGGTTAGGGTGGTCACCTAATGATGGTGAGTCTCCATGTCTGGGTTAGGGTGGCAACCTAATGATGGTGAGTGTCCGTGTCTGGGTTAGGGTGGTCACCTAATGATGGTGAGTGTTCATGTCTGGGTTGGAGTGGCCACCTAATGATGGTGAGTGTCCATGTCTGGGTTGGAGTGGTCACCTAATGATGGTGAGTGTTCAGGTCTGGGTTGGAGTGGCCACCTAATGATGGTGAGTGTCCATGTCTGGGTTAGGGTGGCCACCTAATGATGGTGAGTGTCCATGTCTGGGTTAGGGTGG